AGAGCCTAACCCGAAAAGCAGCCGGGAGGTATGTGAAAACCGCAGTCCATTGAAGGCCGGTAGACCAAGGTCACAGTTTCAGTGTTGCTGTAATTCATAAATGCTACTTTTAGGACCCAAGGGAGCCTTATGTGTCTTGCCACTCCAATTCCCGGAGCTTAAGTTACCGGTTTCCACCACTGAATCGCAGGTCTTCGTGACTATGGGATCCGCCCCCCTGCTGTTTATCACACAAGTGTATCTAATAGATAAAGATCTAATACCTAAACATCTTTATTTCATCAGGATATACGGGTTTTCCCGTGGTTTAGATTCAGTATTCATTTGAAACACTGTCTGATGGCTTGTTTTATGTGACGTTATTTATTTCAAAGGATACGCGGGTATCTTGCACAACAGGCAGCGTACTTTGAAGTATAGTTCAGCCGGTCACCCACGTTAAGCCCTCCCACAGCTATTCTGGCATGGGTCCTATGGCCACTTTCAACAAACCCACCCAAGGCGGAAGTTGCCGAGAATGTCCAAACCATGTGCCGTTAAGCTACCATTACTTCTCGTTCTATTTGAAGATGACGGAATGAAGTTTGTTAGAGAATTATACTTTCTGTCCTGAGTGGATCCTCTCTTCGCAAGGTCAATTATTGTCCTCGTCTTTAAGGACCATCAGCGCAGTGGCTGTGCCAATCACGAGCGGTTAACGCCCGTTGTTCGCAGTAGGCTGCACAATACATGCGAAGGGTAGGGTGGGTTTCGCACCGGTAGTGAATGCATCGATCACATTACCATTCTTCCACAGGTACCCGATCACCGTGATACCTTCCAAAGACCAGCAACAATTGTGTTTCTAGACAGCCGCCTCAGTGTCGATACGGCTGGGTGTCAGGTTATGACTGGTCACTCTTCTCGTGCACCTCAAAAAGTTATACTATTCGACCAATCGTCTCAAATAGCCGCTGCTGAGGAAGCCCTACTCACTGCATTCCCATGGCGGATGTTTTCCCATCTAAGCGAGAGGACAGTAAACTAAAATCCGGGTTGGTGAACTACTGCCAGTTCACCTAGGAGAGTTAGCTAAAATCCCTGACTCCAAACCAGCCAAGAAGAGGCGTACGAACCGCATCCTCCTGGCAGTGGTGACCAGTTCAATCGGGCATCGAGGTGTATTGACCACCCTGAATGCTTGAGGTCTTCCCAAGGAACTGGACACCGGCCCCGAATGGATTGCGGTCTTCACACTGCGTTGCGAGTCAGACTTTGTTTATGGGAAGGTTCCGGTTGTGAATTCTCCAAGAAAATTTACCTACTTGGCTTCTGCCACCTGATAGTATTCTTTCCACAAGCAAGTGATGAAATTTTGTTTGTTTCATAAAGATTATTGTACTGTGATTTGTTTTCGCACAGTCTGCGCTCAGACGTGTGTGGATATGTATGTCTATGTACACGACGCTTCACTCCTATTCGTATCTAATTTCCGACTAACCTGAATAGTTACTGCAAACGGAATTGGAACTAAAAACTGCAGGGTTAAATGAATCAACATAGTAGAATTTGTTCTTGTTGAAACCTTCACACTAAAATACCATGGGCATTTCTTGAAGTACAATATCCGAAATACAAGAATATGAACAGGCGATGCGAACTATAAACGCTCACCCACAATGCTCAAGAGGGAACCTTAAGTTACTGCCCTTTTTTGTACTGTACGATAATGCTCGAAAGATGGTCACAATGTAACTTTCAGAATATAATAAAATCTATCGGATAAAAAAGTAAGACATCCTTGCGACTGCCGAATGCATTGCTGTTTGCCAGTGGCAGTCATTTATGTCCTAAAGCGATGAATAAATGTTTTTAGTTGGGCGCCTGAATGATTTTCTGACTTCCTTATGTTTGTGGTTTTTCGAACGTCATTGCAATTGGAAACAGTTTCCCCGTAACGAATTTGAATAAAGAAGCCAAAACCCAGGTTTGCACAGTGTATCCTGGATCATTTCGCCGAAATACGCCGAGGCACTAACCATTCAAAATTACCATCCCAACCTGTGTAAACAGCGTGAATGGCTTATCACTCTGGCGCTAACTTGGTAAAAAATGTGATTGGTGAATGATTTTGACCGCAATNACCGCAATCTTCCTCCGCCTATGATTCTGTTATTTACTGATCATATATGAATAATCACATAGACTGTAGTATGCATCCGTACAGATGCAGCGAAATGATCCAAAATGCATAGCGCAAACCTGGGTTTTGGCTTCTTTATTCAAATGCATTAATTATGCTTTACATCTTGATGTAATTTCTGGCGTAGTAAACGGAACTGTAATGATCTTTGTCTGTTTCTTTTCGGCTATAGGAAAAGTCTACTGTTTGATTCAGTTGTCTACACTCCCCCCTCATGTGATCAAAGGCTTACCGGGTACCGACCTGAACGAGGCCAGGAGGACCGCTGCACATCGTTGCATAATGTTTCTCAAGGCAATGGCGAGCGCAAATCCAGAGATGGATTATCAATCTTGGTTTTTAAATAGTTTTTGATAACAGATTACTCACTATCCACGCATTGTACATAGTTAATTAAAATACTACCAACACTCCCATAATTGTGATCTCACCAAGCGTGGATGGGGTCAGAGTCAAACAATTTGCCAGTATTGACAAAATATTGAAAATCGGTTCTCGTAGCTCGAGTGAACCGAATTCCATTTCGCCTGTTCGTCGAGCTTGGCGATTTGTTTGCACTGATGATGTCACCTCGGCTGGTGATGGAACGTTTGCAAACAAATTGCCAAGCTCGGCGAACAGGCGAAATGGAATTTGCCAGTATCTTGCTAACAGTCCCCATGAAGCTTCCGTTTTGACTCTGGCAGTTCTCAGCCGCTCTCTCCTATCTGGATCGGATTAGACGACCAAGACATCTAATAAATCATAGGCTTTTTGTTTGAGGGCGCGTTGACATTCAACTTTTATCATGTTCATGTCGCTAGCTATTTGATAAAATTCAGCACGGAAACTTGAAAATCTCTGATGGAGCTAGTATGGTCGTGGTGAGGTGTACATGTCATTTAAGGAAAAAATAATTGTATGACACACTAAGAGCGCTTATCATAGTCGCAAAAGAAGCACAACTAGCCAGAATTTTTCTGGAGAACAAAGGAGTAAAAAATAATTCTTTTTAAGAAATACGTTAACCGGACCAATGGGGTACATTTAATTCAAGTCACAATTTTCACTTTCGACCCAGGTTTATGAGCCATTCGGATCACTTTAGCCAAGGCGGCTTTCTTGTCTTTGGACAGATCAGAACCCGCTTTGTGTTTCATGCGCTTCGCACGAATACGCATCAATTTCCGTCGGTGGCGACGCTTGTCAGTAGTGGTGCGTTCGCTCAAGCCTGTAATCACTTCCCCACGAGGTGGACAAATCTCTTCGGGTGCCAACATTTCCCCGGTCGCTATTGCCGTTGGTCCAGCCTCTTCCATAATCAACGCTGATTGATTCTGAATAACATTCACCTCGGGAAGATGCTGTACATCGGAAAAGATATGTAAATAATATGGTAGGATCACTAAAACTATATTAAATCAATCAAGCAGGGAGATGAACAAAATGAATGATAGGTTTGGGTAATTTCGTGATGACAGTTCACGAAGCAAAACAGACCCTAAAACGATCAAAAGTACCGCAGATACCTGAAACACAGGAACGCCAAGGGTCTCATAAAAGTCACTTTCAACGCGTTTGATACAAAAAGTGTTCGGCATAAATTATTTCGAATTTAATACTTGTCTTAGTGATCCAACCTGGGTCATGTAGTATACGATGCAAACGTACCATATCCAATCTGAATTCTTCCTTTAGGAGTACCCGAGGACAATTATGACTTTTAAATGTCAGTAGCACTAATGGGATACGAACACAACCCATGTGACGATAATCCACTGCCAAATTTTGCGATTTCGCTGACTGATACAACTAAGCCTTGTTTGGTGAGGCAGAGAGAAATGGAGATGTCACACAGCACAAATGCAGACACGCTTATGTAGATCAAAGTCAAATTTAGGAGAAAACAACTAATTATGATTCTGCTTCGAGTTTTACATGTCGTTTCTATCTTGCCGCTAAGGTGTTCGAATTCTTTAATGGTCGTACGGGCAGCAATCAGAGTCAAGTCCAACTGATACAATGATTTCGTCAATTGTGCGTAGGAGCTCAGCCATTGGAAGACTCTCATTGGCACTTGGTGTACATTATTCAGGATCGATGTTACTGGTAAATAGGTCTGGTAAACATTTAGTCGCAAAGACTGGCCAAAAGTGAACGTGAAAGTACTGTCAGGTAGATGTCACCCGCAACGTGATTGGCCGTTGCTTCGTTTCACAACAATAACCTCGAAGTATTGCGTGTATGAGTCCGAGGGTTCGGTGTTATCTTGTCGCTGATGATAAGGAACACTACGTTCAAACAGTTTGTTAACTACATACTGGAGTTGGATGTAAAATTCAACCGTGACCAACAAATTCCCTAGCGAGTTGGCGGGATAGAACGACAAATGACCTAACAGAGGAAGCTTCAAAGGGGACAGTGACATCCCTGGGAGAGGTCGGCTAATAAGGCCGTTGATTGCGCAATATTCGTATGGTACTGTGCTAGATCCCTGTCGAGGTGTTCGGATGCTTCAGTAAACGATTCGTTTATATAATTAAAAGCTTAGTTGGAGCTGACATCAAAACCACTAGCAAAACACAAGGCACATCGAATCTGGACATTTCGACGCATGAACGTGAATTATATTAGAATAAACGTTTCGAGATCGCGGATAGCATAAGGTCCATGTTGGTGGCTGATCGTAAAAGGGTGGACATTGCTCCGTCGGGGTGTACACTGAATGCATCGGGAGTAATTGATTAGCCATTCAATAACGCTATTATCATTGCCGTGCTACCTCCACTGTACCAGGGCCAAAGGTGAGTATCAGAGAACGGTAGGTGATACCAGGGAAGACAATGTTTCTCAGGCACAAAGCACGAATATGACTGAACTATCCACTAGGTCGTAGGTTAAATGCCTTAAGATAACGGACGATGCAAAGATACAATTTATAATGCCTTAGTCGGATAGGAAGTGATATCAGAAATTGCGGTTAAAGTTTACGTTACAAAAACCCATTTAAATCAGTAAATTTACAGCAAAATGTGAGCGTAACAGTTGCGAGGATAGAGCGAGTGCGCGCCATGAACTGAAACCGTGGTAAAATTCACGACTGAGGACATGCATTTCATGGTCCATCAACTGTGGTGACAGCTGTTGTAAGTAAATGGGACCACATCTGATTCGTGGAGACCTGTCACTGTTGTCTCTACCCCTAAAAGCTCCACGAATGTTTTCTGTGTTTATTCAGTTATCGCCACGTTAGAGTCCGACGTGTTACTCTCAGAACCCTACGTTCTTGTTAAGATATTACCCCGGATCCTTTTCAGTTTGCGTAGAGAACGGAAGGGGTCGATTATTGATTCAGTGCCTTCTATTGTCTAATTCTTTACCAATTCTCTAAATCACTGCGAAATCTGTCTTTTGTATATTTCTTGATTAGTTTTCTGCATTGGATTCTATCTCTCAATCATTTCTGCTCCGTAAATTGAGGTCTTTTGGCTGCCCATTAGGAAATAACTCCAGTGAGCATTTAACAGCTGTACTTAGCCCCCCCCCCCGCATCTGTTCTTGAGTGACTTGTCTTTGCATGGCGTAGTAGTCACTTATACATCTAATATCGATCTACTTTTCCATCTTTATTTGATAATCGGAATTTTACTCAAAACTTCCGCTTAACTCAGGCTCTAACCTTAGTTTACGACAATGTTTCTAGCCTTAGTTGAAGCCTCCGCATTCATCTGATCCCACTAAAACTTCACACATTGACGATTCTCCTATCTCTGGAGTAAACCTTACCAAGTATATTGGTGCTCCTAGGAAGGAAGTAATGTTTTCACATTATGACTACTGTTGTTACACCAGACAGTTGTCATGCTATAAGTTTCCATCAATTATTCTTGCTTTTTATATCAGCATGCTTTCCTCATTGTTCGTTACTCTTCCCCAGCGGTCTTTCATTGCTCTCCGTCGCAACTGATTCGTCATTAGTAACCTTCCACTCCCTCTTAGGGACTTTATTATCACTAAATTGTGTGAATTTCATATTGATTCTAATGTGAGTTATTCTCACTAGATCCTCAGCGATAGCACACGTCATTTTTGTACTCACCCTTCAGTATGGTTTACTTTTCAAATAGTTCCTAATAAGACTAATGTAAGCACTTCCATGTTCAGCAATGTTCCCGTATTCTCACTAATAAAGCAGAAGTCGCTACTGACTTGCGTATGAAACGATTGAGGTGAAAAATCTATGTATACCTTTTCACGTATTTAGTCGAAGGCTCTACGTGTAAATCTTTTTATTGAAACGTACGCACACTTGACTACAAAAGTCTGTCAACGCAAAACAATATCGAAAAACCAATATATATTTTGAAAAAAAGAGAAAAAAATTCAGTTCACAACCGAGGGGCGTTGGTTCTATTAAGTGCAAAAATGCTGCTTTTTATGGCTGACTCTCTGACGCTGACGAGTTTTCAGATTAAATTGATCTCAATAACATTCTTAACAAAAGTATGAGAAACGAAACAGGAATTTTAAACATTATATGAAAAACCAAGATTTGAAAGTTTGCCCCTTATAATAACTTAGTGAGATTAATATGTGCAAATCGCAGTTACAACGACCTATTACTCCGTTCGGCTGACTGCAATCTTAGCCCCCATAATCGGAATGATTAACCACAAATCCCCCCAAAGGTTAGGTTTAATATTACACTGGAAAACAGTTTCAGTTTTTACAACCATTAACCATGTGTCTTCGTGCGCTGGTTTTAGTTGCTGCCTTTTGGCTGCCCATTTGGATGAAAGAGTAAGATAAAGAGTGGATGACCACTGGACAACAGCAACGCTTCTTACCAGCTAAGTCNATCTAGGATCATAGTTGATTGTGGGCGACTGGTCGCCGTAAACGCGAACACCAAATGATTGCTGGGTGACCGGAAGTGCGTTGAAGTCGAGGAGCAAAAGGAATTAATCTGAATATAAACAAGCAGCAGCGACGGGCGGTTGTAACGAAATGGTCTACATTTCTGTAACTGAAGCTTCTGCACACGCATAATATCATCCAAATGATTCCTGCGTGAGAATGATTCAGCTTCGTGAATTTATCTGAAATAAGCCGCCCACGCACGGAGATTCACACAGTTCAGCGCAAATTTCAGTCTTGAATACCACAAACTGATCGTAAACCGAATTGGTATATAATGGCTAGGACTATGAAGGTCGAAGTATTCGGGGCGTTGGTGCAGGGAAAAAAATTTGAGTTCAGCCAACGGCGTTCTGATGATGTAACCAAACTACTGCAGACGTTTCCAGTGCAGGTAGCGCGCATACTACTTGAGCCGATGTATCGTTGGAGGATATCTTGCTTGAAAATCAGAAATTGCCAGATTTCTTTCGCAGTGCGACGTAGACCCCAGTGAAAACAGACTCCAGGATGTCTTCCACCCTAAGAGACGCGAGCCCAAGACCGAACATAAGGACGGGACGAATAGTGGCCCAGTAGTCGCACACATTGCTTTGACATCGAATTTCGTACTCGCTTTTTGAGCGTTGCCGATGCAAATGTAGATTTTGTCTATGGCCTGCCCACTAAGTAGGTTCAATATTTCCGCTCCTAGTGCAATGGTTGGCACCTCTTACATCGCCCAGCGAAGTAAGCCCCTTTCTCACACGAACGTACAATGTTCAACACCAACGTTTCATAACACCATTAAAAAACAGAATAGGCAATGTTGTGTTTTGAACTCACCTTGTATGGGACAAAGTGTAAATGTGACAAGGAATCTAAGGCTTCAAACAGCTCAGAAATTTCTTTCTGGATGGCATTTTTCACTGGATCCTCTTGCTCCTTCTCTAGTATCTTGAGTTGTTTGCAATAACTGAAATATTTCTGTGCTTACGTTGTTCTTGGCAAGTAGGTTTTCATAGTCCTCCACCAATGACTTTTGTGTGACATCTTGGACGATTGTGGATTGTGCTTTCTGGGGCAATTGCTCTTTCCTCTTGAAAGTAGGACTGTCATAAGACTAGAAAATGTTCGCTGTCAGATGAAAAAATTTACTTGTTCCTTAATCGCCTTTTTTATGAAATCTTGTATTGCATCCTCGTTTGCTGGTGGAGGCTCTTAAGGAATGGAAATACAGTGGGAAAACAAAAGCTTACTAAACTTTCCATGCCGCTGTACGTCAAGATGTTCTTCCAAAACCGTATTCTCTGCTCTTTCTTGCGCCACAATTTCACCCTTCATGTACCATGGTTTCTCGTCGAGCATACGCTCTTCCATGCGACCAGTCTCCCATTCCAACTAGAAAGAACATTTGGCGAAAAATTACGGAGCTTAGAAAAAGCAAATTTCTAACTTATGTAGTATTTTTTCAAGTCAAGTGACAGCCACTCAGCGGTTTTCAGTTCCACTAAGGTGGGTCTATTTTTAAATCTGGAACTCAACGCCTCCGGCCGTTGCATAGAAGTCAGCAGTAAAATGGTTTTAATCGAATGTGCACAATTGAGTTCATGTTGGTCATGAAGGACTGTATCAGAAAGTCGAAAAACAAAAAACGTATATAAACGGCATTACATCAATAAGCTACCATTGAGAACTTCGGAAGAATTACCCTGATGCATAGCAGCTGAAACCAACCAACTTATAAAGAACTAATACGAATGGTGAATGGGCAGATGCATCATGAAACTATGCAAAGCGTTTAAGCATACGGTTAGGACAAATAGCACATTAGAACATTTGCTCGAAACGGCTACACAAGAGTTTTCCATCACTGCAAAACAGAACAAACGAAAAAACTTCAAAGAAGTGAAAGCAAATAAATTTCCTCACGGCATGTTGAAAAATACAATTAGAGTAGGTAGAATATCAGTCGTTTCCCAAAGAATTAGATCGATAGCAGAGGATGAACATGCAGCAAATGAGAGAAATAAACTCATCTACTTAATCCGTGGCGAACATTGCAAAGCAACACGTCCGAGAGATGAAATCAAGAATCCATTACCCATGGTGCATCTGGGTATAATCAAAAAATACTATTGGCCTCTGTTTGTTAAACTATAGGATTGCTGAATAAGCTGCATAATCCTCTTCGGATTCTAGACTGAACCGTATCAAAATCCAAGAAATCGGCACCTTTGTACCAGAGTGATTAAACAACTACTTATCAAAATTTAATCCTAGCAGTACCCTGGAATCACGTGATTGAAAGAAAGATTATAGTGTAATAAGTTCCAGGAGAAGTTTCGAAACAAGTAGTATGTATTAAGTAAGTGTGGCAATACTTAAAAGTTACTGGGCCCAGGTCAACAAATAGAAGAGTTAAAATCTTGGAAAAATTTTAATACTTACCTGTTCTTGCAATGCCTCGAAATCTTCCGACTATGATGAGGGTCAGCTAAAACGAAATAAGCACTAACCTTGCCACGCATTGCGGACGATCTGTCGGGATTATCCTTTCTCTTGTTGAGCTAAAATTAAAGGAAAAACATTGCGTTTGAGCTAAAAGCAGCAGCAAGTGATGGATGCCCTTGGTTCTTTTAATTTTCTAACTTTCTGTGAACGTCTTTTGTTGATATAACCACTTCAAATTTTGCCCCAAACAAGTATTGATTGCATATGTCTTTGTCAAGAACAAAAAACCTGATACTCTAAACCGTGGTTCTATTTGGAGCGAAACCAATATATATATATATA